CCTCGGGCCCTCCCAGCTTTGACATTCCCTGTTCTGAGGCCCCTCTCATCTGTACATTCCCTGTTCTGAGGCCCCTTCCATCTCTGACATTCCCTGTTCTCAGACCCCCTCCCAGCACTGACATGCCTTGTTCTAATGTCCTTCCCAGTTCTTACATTCTCTGGTCTCAGGTCTCCCCTTCTAGCTCTGCCCTCCCATGTTCTAAGGCCCTTCCCTACTTTGGCTTTGTGCTATCTTGCCGTGCTCACCTTTCCCTCTGTTGTGACCATTAATGATTCATGTATCATTGAGGCACATAAGATTTATTCCTAGTCCCTACCAATACAGAGGATCATTCGCAGGGCAAACACTTTCAAATGGGCCACTTTGGGTATGATGTAAATTAAAACTCTGTCTTTTTTAGGTTTTCTCCAAAGTCGGAACGGTGAAGAGCTGTACTGTTTCCAAGAAAAAGAACAAAGCAGGTAAACTCTGAATTAGAAATCAGTTAATTGGCTTCCTGGGACAAGACAGGATGAGCATTGAGTGACGAGGATGGAAAGGGGGAGGGAGCAGAAAAGAGGAACAGCGTCCTCCAGGGTTCTCTTGGCCTGTTTTAAAGGATATTTTCCTTGGCTAAAACCTTCAAGGCCCCGCTCCAGTAGCACCTTTCCAGTGTCCTTTGCTCATTGTCCTGGCCAGCGGTGGTCGGTGGTCATGCCCCTAAGAACTCATCAGACTTGAGTGGACTCACACGCTTGCAGGAGCACTTTGTATCTCTCTCTATCTCGCCCCATCATCTGATGGCAATAATACGTTGTAAGAATTGTATTGCTCGCTTTTGTTTCCACGTTCCCTTCATTTCAAAGCTGCCCCTTCTCCTTCCCCACCCAGCAAGCCAGGCCTTCTGAGAAACAATGAAAAGGGACAAGAAGGAAGCAGTGTGGTGAAAGAAACCAACCCAGCACCAGAGCCTAACAGTCTGTGCAGGGTCATGCCCCCAGTGCCCCGCCATTGTAAAGAGGGAGAGTCAGGCACCCACCTTTGGAGAGGAGGGTCAGACACCTACCTTTGGAGAGGAGTCAGGCACCCACCTTTGGAGAGGAGAGTCAGGTACCCACCTTTGGAGAGGAGTCAGGCACCCACCTTTGGGGAGGAGTCAGGCACCCACCTTTGGAGTGGAGGGTTAGGCACCCACCTTTGGAGAGGAGGGTCAGGCACCCACCTTTGGAGAGAAGTCAGGTACCCACCTTTGGAGAGGAGAGTCAGGTACCCCACCTTTGGAGAGGAGAGTCAGGTACCCCACCTTTGTAAAGGGTTCTTCTTTTTGGGGATTCTTAGGTTCTGCAATATAGGGGTGACTCTTCTTTGGTGTCGTTCCCCTGAGACGACATTATGGAATTAATTATTTTGTCTGTTTTTCTGTAATTAATAGTCATCTGGGCCTCTGGTTCTCAGAACTTTTCTTATTTTGTGCTTCTGACAAGTGAGAAGCATCTATTAAGCACCAGCTGTGTGTACCATGATGTACAGTTAGGCTGCGGAGGAAAGAACAGTATTTCTAGTCATTCACTCTAATTTAAGAAGCCACTGGCTCTGTGCTGGGGAGACAGAACATTTTCAGCAGGCCCTGTCCTCCTGGAGTTTCCACTGGACTTGAGCAGGATGTGATCTGTTCGCAGAGAAGCAAATAGACAAGTACATGTAAAGCAGTGAACAGAGAATTGGAGAAGGCAGGGAGGTGCCCCAAGCATCAGGAAAGGGACTGGTGACAGTGAGGAGGAGGGGAGAGCGTCCCTCACGAAGGGATAAAAGCATGGAGGTGGGAGATAGCCCATCTTCTGCAGGGAGCGGCAAATCGGTCTTTCTAGCTGGGATCTAGAGCATCTGAGGGGGGTGCAATGTGCAGCAGGACTGTGAGGCCAGCCCGTCAGTCAATGAGCATTTATTAAGCACCTCTTATTTTCTAAGCATCATAGAGAGGTATTTACTGTTTTATCAAAGTTAGACACAGGTGTGCCCTCATGGGGCTCAGAGCCTGCTAGGGAGAAGACAAACCCCCAGATAACATTACCATGTTCTGTACATTAGGCACGACTCCTTTAAAGCCAGCCCAGCCCTTTCCTCTTCTTCCAGGCTTCACACACGGCTCCCCTTTATGAACCCTGGGGTCCGGCCAGGCTGCCTGAGGTGCTGTTCCTCACACAAGAAGCTCTCCCTTCTCTCTCGTCTTTGTCCTGGCTGTCCCCCTTGCCCCATAGCCTCTCCTTCCTCTCTTCTGCCCCTCAGAATCCCTGGCTTCCTTCTGCAGGAGGCCTCTCCTGATCCCTCTGGCTGTAGGGAGTGCTTTCCCCTCCACAGTGTGCCCTTCTGTCTGCTCCGGGTGCATCTTATCAGTGCCTTATGGCAGGCTACATCACCCGGTGGAGAGAGCGCTGGGTGTGGAGTCAGGAAAACCTGAGTTCATATCTGGCCTCAGACATTTAATAGCAGTTGGGTCACCTCCGTCTGCTTCAGTTTACTCATCTGTAAAATGAGGATCATACTAGCACCTACCTCCAAGGTGCTGAGAGGATGAAATGGGAGAATATTTGTGAAACGATTTGCTGCGAACTTTGCGGGGCCGTTATCAATGCAGGCCCTTACAAGTACCTGTTTACGTGCATATAGTCTCTCCTTAGAACATGAGCTCCTTGAGGGCAACATCTGTTTTACCCTTTTTTTGTATCTCCCAGCAGCCAGAGCTGTGCCTGATACACAGTAAGTGCTTAATAAATGCTTGATTGATTGGCTTATTCTGACACTGAGAGCCTTAAATGCAGGAATCTGATTCCTTTGTCTTACATGATTGGGTTTCACTAGTGTCTTATTCCTCTCCTGGACTCTAAGCACTCCGAGGGCAGGTACCCAGTCCAGGGGCTAAGCCGGGTGATTTCTAAGGAAGGTGTTCTAGAGCACCATTTATGTCTTCTGCTCATGGTGTCTGCCTCTTGTTAGCATAAAGTGGCCACCTGAGTCTTAAATCTCTCTCCATCTCTTTTCCAGGTGTTTTGCTGTCCATGGGGTTTGGTTTTGTGGAGTACAGGAAGCCAGAGCAGGCCCAGAAAGCCCTCAGACAGCTCCAGGTAAAGGGCCGCCTGGCCTCGTGTCCTGGTGCACTTTCCTGCAGAGGACGGGGCTGGGTGGTAGATGACAGCATCCGGTGGTGCTCTATAGTTTGGGAGGAGACATGAACTCTTGAAATGAGGTGGGGATCCCCAAGAACAGACAAGCCTGTGATTATAGCCCATCCCCCAACTAGGCCAGCGCCAGGGGCAGCCCTTGCTCCCATCCTCCCCTGCCTACCGCCTGTCTGTCCTCTCACTGCATGATGGAGAGAGCCTTTGATTTGAGGCAGGAGGCCTAGGCTGCCATCCCTGCTCAGATACTTCCTGCCCTTGGGGCTTTCTTGTAGACTGGACCTGGAATTATACTGGCCCAGGGTCCTCTGTCCTCTGCCACTTGGAGAGCTGTCTTGGGCAAGTCTGTCAGACTTTCTGGAACATGGAGGGGTGAAAGCAGCTTGGGTTGGCAGCTGAAAGACCTGGGTTTGAATCATCATAACAGCAAATATTTCTCCAGCATTTTAAGGCTGGCCAAGTGCTTTACACGTAATGCCTCATTTGGTCCTCACAGTGACCCTGGAAGGTCAGTGCTCTTCTTATCCCCATTTTACAGTTGTGGAAACTGAAGTTCAGGGGGACGGAGTGTCCCCCAGCTTTTGTGAACCCAGGTCTCCCTGGCTCCCAGCTGTGGTGCTCTATCCAGTACCAGCTCTGCTTCCTGCAGCGTGTGTGACCTGGGGCACGTCGCTTCTGAGTCAGCCTGAGTCAGTCTGTAAAACAACCGTGTTCTGTGAGGCTCCTTCCAGCTCTTAATCCTTTCTGACTTCAGATCAGCAAGGGGGGTGAGAAGCTCCTTTACCATAAATAGCTTCCCCTTAATACTCTGCCGTCCCCCATTTCCTCACTTGCTTCTTCCCACTCTCTCGCCAAGAGCTGGACAGCTAGGTGAGTGGCAGAGGCGGGAAGGAGGGAGGTTTTCATTTGCTATACCTCCTCAATGAGCCTGAGGGCAGGGACCCTCAGGACATCTCTCAAAATCAGCCCTTTGGGAGAAAAAACAGGTGTTGTTCATTGAATCCTCAAGTCCCTCCCTCGCTTTCTGTCCCCACTCAAACTCTCCCCTTAGTCAGCTCGGGCTGTCCTCTAGTAGAGAACCAGGCTTGAGCTGAGTGTTTCTAAGTGTTTCTGTGAACAATGAGTCATTGGGTCTTCTTTCTTAGGGCTGCATGGTGGACGACCACAAGCTAGAAGTGAAGATTTCTGAGAGGGCCGTCAAGTGAGTCTCTTGCTTTCTAAGCCTTTCCTCCCCCGTGAAGCAGGGGGGTCTTCTTGGTTGCCCCCCAGAGCGGCCTTCTGCCTTCTCTAACATCCTCAAAGCCTGAACCTCCTAACTGGGCATGTCAGCCCTTTAGAATGAAGGTGGCGTTGAGTGTGTATGTCCCAAACATACGTTTCCATGATAAACTCCAGCCGTTCTGGTCCATTGCATAAATGCCTAATACACATTTATTATAATAATGAGAAACATTCGAGGGGAAACACTCTCTAATTGCGTTGGTCTGGGCAGTGGAAATAAACAGAGGAGCGGCCATGGGGGACGGCACGAGAATGAGCAATCCATCACCGAGCTCTCTCCTTGGGGCAGGTTTTCTTAGCAGGACCTGACAATGAATGGGACGTGGGGACAATTACAGTCATGGGATCATAAGCACAGAGGTAGAAGGGCCATCAGATGTCATCGAGGCCAAGTGCCTTCCTTTGACAGGCCGGGATACAAATATCTCATTTGATTCACACAACAGCCCTGCTAGGGAGGTGCCATTGTTGTCCCCATTTTACAGGTGGGGAAACTGAGGCAGGCAGAGGTGAAGTGATTTGTGTAGGATTACACAGCCAGCTGGATTTGAACTTAGGTCTTCTTCCTGGCTCTGTCCACTGAGCCACCTTGCTTCATGGCAGTGGAATCCATTGTGGCATGAAGACTGAAGGGGTAGACTGCGAGTAAATAGGTCTAACGACATCCTGCCACAGATCCTTCCTAAGTGGGTGACTATTGGCCAGTCATTTAGTGCTTCTTCCTCTTTAAAATATGAATACTAGACAGCATGGTGTAGGGGGCAGAGAGCTGGCCTTGAGTTAAGGAGGCCTGGAATCCAGTCCTGGCTGACACACCTGGGCAAATCACTCCTTAGTACTCTGGGCAGAAATGTCTAAGATGGCAAGTTGTAGGGAATGTGCCAGTTGACATTAGGAGAAGGGCTTTCCTCATCTGGGAGTCCCTACACCAGTGAAATCCCAGTTCTGGACACCCCCCTCCCTCCCACCAAAAGTAATCCCTCCTTGTAAAGCCCTTTGCAGCCTTTAAAAGGGCTCCACAGCCTCCTTCCAGGGGTCATCTGCCTTTCTGATGGACCCCAGCATTGGAAGCTGGCAGAAGTGTCCTGGGCCGTGCTGGATTCCGGGAGGGCAGGAATCCTATGAGAACATGCACTCACTCGTGAGAACTCAGGGGAGCCTTTAGGCTGTAAGGAGACATCAGATAAGGACTTTATCAGAGAGCATTCCCATGAAGATGACTTCAGGATTTGGTGCAAATTTGTCCCTCTACATGAGGAAGTTGGGGGTCTTAGCTGAGCCTTGCCTCAGCTGCGTGGCCTTCTCTGTCCATCTGAAAATAAAGTGAGAAAAGAGATCTGGGTTAGAAACCCAGGCTGCCTTCATGAGCTCCCTAGGTGTTTCTCAAGCCTTCGTGCTGAGTAGAACTCATGTCTCCAAATAATTATGGATGTCATCCAGACATCTGTGATGGGGGAAGACGGACACAGTGTCTTATCTCCCCTGCGTAGACCCTGTTTGCCGTATTGCAAGAGGAGGGCTGGTGGACTTGCCCCCTCTTGTTCCAGCCCCAGCGGTCGTCAGGCAAGTGAGAGTTCTGTTAACTGAAGCTGTCCCGTTGTTGGGTGCCACCCACCTGGCTCGGTTTAGTGTGGGAGGCTGCCCCAGCTCGGTTTGGGGATGGGGAAGAAGTCCGAGCCCTTGTTCTGGGTGACTGATTGGATTCCTCTTCTGCTTGGCTCACCAGGCCAGTTGTGACGTCAGCTCGGCAGAAACAGACAGCCCGCAAGCAGAAGACGTCTAAGATCTTAGTCCGGAACATCCCATTCCAAGCCAACGTGCGGGAAATCCGAGAGCTGTTCAGGTAGGGAAAAGAGCACCGCCACCCTCGTCCAGCTCGTCCAAGGGGCAAGTTGGGCTGAATCATGAAATTCAGCAGTGCAGGGAAAGTAGGGGTGGGAGGATGGGGGGCAGGGCGAGCTGTGCCCGGTGTTTTTATCGTATTTCTTAAGGATGTTTGGTGCCCTTGACCTCTCCCCTTGTGATCTCCGAGTCATGGCCCACAGCCTTGGGCAGAAGGTGGCCAGTGAAACCCCAGGGTTCTAATTGGTTCTTCCTCCTTTTGGAATCCCATGAAGGTCTTTGTTAGGAATGAGCCTTCATTGGGGGTTCTCTTTGGAGAGGCTGGTCGGTCGTCTCTGGCTCTCTGTGTAGAAGCAAAATGCTTGTGGTAGATTTGAGCGATCAGGCCATGGCCTCTGAGCCCTCTGATGCAGGAGGTGCTGCTTCCTTGTCTCCAGAAGGCCCCTGATGCAGTGTACACTTCCTGGGAAGGGTCCAGCCTCCTAGAGCTCGCGTACTAACACCAACTCATTTATTGGTTCATGGCCACTTACAAGGCCAAGAAGGATGGGGAAATGTGCCAGATTCACTTTTATGAGGAGAAGGGGAGGGTCTCAAGTAAGGGGCAGGGGGGGTGCTGCTCAAGATGGAGTTAGTTAGATAGGAGGGATGGGGTGGATTCCACCATGGTTTGCTGAACTACAACAGCTGAAAAGTAGTGATGGTGACGGTGACGACAGTGACGTTAGCGATGACGATGGTGATGGTGACGACAGTGA